AAGGCTAGACTAGAACTTGCAGTGTGAAACATTTATAGAATTATAGATCGAGGTAATGGTAGTCCCCACTTACATAGATGCTATCAAAAATGCATCTCTACATTCCAATTTTACCAGTTTTGTTACAGTAATAGTATAACCCTTGTTAAAGTTAAAAGCAATCATAATAATTTACGGCCTTAGTGGTCTATTACTATTATTCGTCTAGATAACTTTGTATCCGCAGATTTTACCAAGCTGAAGAGGAAATGCCACTACACATCCAATGTGGTTGTAACCCACTCATGCATAAACGAAATGTATCCTTTGAAAAGTATACACTCTATCCTAAGGAGTTAAAAACCATCACTCCTAAGAATATCCTACAGTTCTGGTCCCAAACGGATCTAGGTAGCGGACTTCCAAAAAGGGTGAGTACAATAGATCTACGTAGGTTGCAGTGCTGCAGGTACCAGACAATAGCCCAAAATCCCCAATAAAAAAAAGTAGGTAACATTTTGGCACTTTTGCACAATCTCTATAGAAAGTACAGGATAAAGCATGATGCCTAACATCTTAATCCTCTAGAGTGACAACGCATAAGTGGTGCAAAAGTCTCGGATATATGATTTCCGTGCTATAGACTATATCAGGTTGACCTTCAAGCGGTTCTTCGTGGATGATAAACCCTGTAGAATTTGCCATGGGCTAACTGACCTGACCTGACCCTAATGTAAACAACATTATCATCGTCCTCTGGTGCCCCGCCAGCTAAAACTGTTAGCGCAGGCGGGTGAACCATTCTATTATCATCCAATAAAAATTTTGGTTAAACATAAAACCAACGACCGGTTCGTCCTATAAAACATTCTTTATTGCGGCCGCTTTTTATAACATTTTGTAATAACAGTGTTTACTTTGGCATTTTTCTGTTCGCTTTCAGAGTTAAATTAATAAGTACTTACCTAAGTACATAATGAAGGGAAATAACTGTTTTCGTATTTTTCCCGTTCCCTGTTTTGTTTACAGCGACAAATTATATCAAACTTTTTAAATTAACTTAATTAATAACTTTGACTTAACAGGCTAAAGTTGGTCAGTACTGGATTCTTTGTTTTTAGGGTTCCCGTCTAAAAATATATATCAGAACATTTATGGTATAATTTTATACAACTAAATCTCACAATCCTAATGGGATACTAAATACGGTTCTTTAAAAAAAATATACTAACAACATAAAAAATATAGACGTAATCGTGTTGAGGTCGACCTGACATGGTCTTTGTTACTTACAATCCCTTCGTACATTCTGTCAAATTGCATAAATATATGACAGATATATGAATATGTACTTGCATAATATAATAGTAAAGCTTACAATCCAATACATCCGTAAAATCCACTTCCTTATAAATTTATTCGACTCAATTGGATCGTAATCGATAAACTGCACGCACTCGATTTACAAACGTAAGTCGAGCGTGAAAGGCACTCGACTCTATCCATACTCGACTGCCGTCCTATTTATCGGACGAAAGCTTAATATTTTGGCATTCCCAGATGTTTCCTTGACCACTTGTTTCACGGTTAATGTAGGAAAAATATTTTTTCCCGCCAAATTACACGTAAAAATGTCGCCACATTACTTGGCCGGATTTACAGATTTGGGTCATTTTGGGCAAGGGGCAACGTTGATAGAAGCTATTTATTACGGTATTTTTATTATATAAAACATATTTGATTTTGTTACAATTATTTGTAAAAAGGACATACATTTATACAACTTACATTTATTTTCAAGTCTTTTCATTGGAAATATAAATTAATAAACTATTTGTGTATCAAATTTATTTAGGTATGTAAATTCATTAAACATTGTAGACCCTTGCCGAGCGCTCCGACCGCCTGCCGCCTTTTGGAAAAATTCGTTTGTTGCCGGTATTTCCATCAGCGGAGAATTAGTCACAAATATTAAATACATAATTATAATAGACATACTAAGTATAATATCTATATGTGCTTTCAAAACAATAATGATGTATTCATTAGGAATAGACAATCAAAGCTGTAATAGAAATGGACATAAACAATTACTATTACCACAGTTAACATAATATTATATACTATTACAGAATTGTGGAAACATCTCTCAAGAAAAATATTATCTAGGGATACATCAAAAATAATCACAAATATACTCCCTAATGACCTTTCGTGGGTCATAATTCGTTGGAAAAGAATTCATTTTCAAGATAACAACACTCGTCGGTGGCTCATAAATGTTTAGCGACGTCCCGCCCATCATATCTTACTTTTATTGGCAATGAGGCTAAGGAAACACCGGGTTTATTCCGTTCCGCGCCTCCTCGAATGACGCGTAATTTCTAGAAAGAATCGATTATGGAGTTTTCATTGCGGCGTTAAAATTGATCGGATTTATAATGCAATGTTTCGATAATAAAGTATTTTATTTAACTTCGGTGGTAAAACACACCCGTGACACTATATATTCACATTATTTGGAACAGTAACTTTGAGAACTTAGAAGATTATATGTATATATATGTTGTTAAAGTTATTTCACTTGAAAATATATCTAGGTATATAATTTATATTAAAAGAATGGAAAACTTGTGGCACATGTCAATAGATAATTCATATATAATATTTTAACTACAGACTTGTGGCTAGTAGGTATACGACAAAAGTGTAATCTAATTTGTAGATATTTATATGTTTTGAGAGGGTCATGACCTACTAGTTTATTATACGATTTAATTCCCAAAGGTTACAAGTTTGGATATGTATTTAACGGAAAAAATCATTGTGACAATTTATTTTTATGACTAAACATCTGGTGATAAAAACAACGGTAATAAACCAAACAATCAGAGACATACATAAGGTGCCGCCACAAATTTAGACATTTTAGTGAGCAAGACTCACGACCACGCCACGCCACACGACCATGCGCTACTTAGTATCTACGTTTTAGATAAGAATGCATGCGGCAATCAATAGAAAAACCACCACGCTTTCATTATGCTCAATTAAATAAATCAAGAAAGCAATAAAATTAAAATTATTTGTGGTCTTGTAAATGTATATTATTATTATATTGTACAATATCGATAATAGCCCAAGTTAAGAAATAAAAAGCAAGTATTTTTTAAACACTCTACAAATATTCTGCTACTAAATCTGCCAAAACCATCAAACTTTACGTCAAAACTTTTCGCGTAGCAACGTTAAGCTTAATAAATTATTAACGAATATTTAAAACTACAAAGAAATCTGTCTCGCAGGCAATTTCATGAAAGCAATTAAAAACCTTTTTCAGTTGATTCTAATCAAAAATTCTATTTGTCTGCAAAATCGGAGCGCTTTAGTTACTTTAAAATTGCGAGTAAGACATGTCCGACGCTTAATCAAAAACAGCATTAACACGAATATTATAATTATTGCAAAATTTACTTTAACCTTTTAGTATAAGGTCGATTTTCTAAATTTGATATTATTTAACCCTCAATGCAAAAGGAGGGATGTTTGCGTTTGTCTGTAGAATCGTAGAAATTCGTAGCAAGCTCGTAGCTGCTAAACGAATTCATCATAATCAGCCCACTGCAGTCCACTGCTGGACATAGGCTTCTCCCAAGGCAAACGAATTATGGTGTGATATGTTTCTTCGTAAGTTCACCTGATCGAGATTGTGGATCGAGTTACAATTTATGAAGATCTGTACAGTCTTTTTTTATTGTAACAGTATTATTATAACGTATCAACGTTTAAAGAGCCTGATGGAAGATCGTGGAAAGTGGCATGAGCTACACCGATAAGAGCGTCGCTTTTAAATCATGAATGAAACAGCTATTCAAAAACATTTAATTGCGTATTTTAAGAATAAAACAACTCTACAAAAATGGATTGAGTATTTCAAACCAAGTAATATAGCTAACTGGCCGCAGCAGTAACTAATGAAACCGCTAGGCACAGCTAATATAATAATACCCGTAGAAGAAAAAGGTATCGTGATTTGAGAATAGCTCTCCGGATTGGCGGCTGATTAAAAATGTTCAATGTTTGTTCTCTAACTTTTTGTTTAAGCATCCCGCGCTTGAGGACTTGGAACGTAATTATATGTAGATTAAATCGACCAACTGAGGCAGATTAAACTCATTATATTACATGTATGAGAGTTCGAGGACCTCGGTGGTCTAGCAGTTTAGCACACTGTTTTATTACCAATGGTTTGAATTCGATTCTTCACATGGTACACATTTGTATTCATAAGTATGATTGCTTGCATCTGTGTTTTCCATGTATTTAAATAAAAATATCTATGTATTTGTATTAATTGTGTAGTAACACAAGCTCTGCTTCGCTTAGGACTAGATGGCATTGTGTAAATTGTCCAAAGTTATTATAAATTATTTCTGATTAACCAAACAGTTAGTAATAAGTTAAGTAATTCATGTGTATACAATTAAATATTGTTATTTTGTGACGCTATTAAGGACCCTTTAACATTATACACGTAATCAGTACCTACTTGTAATAAGATTAAGAATGAGAAAGAGAGCAGAAGAACCACTTAGTTTTAGGCGTGACATCGCATCGCTTTGTGTGTTCTACCTGATACACAACGAACTGTGCTCTACGGTTACCTTTTACCAGCGCACCGCTCGGCATCGACAGGGTATTCATCCCCACACGCTGGAACCTAAGTGGTCTCGGACAGTGCGGTTTCAGAGGAGCTTGCTCCCGTGTACACTTAAATTGTAGAATGAACTGGCTGCCGAAGTTTTCTCGAGAGACTTAACAAGAGTTTTCCAAAAGGGTTTTTTAAACGTCGCCAACTAGAATGAGTCATTTACGAAATTGCTAAACTCTTTAAGCAGAGTCCATGTGTGTATTGTCAATTGCTATAAATCAATAAAAATAACCCTTTATCATCAGATAGCTGTACCATAGATGGCCATATGCTTGTTTGCTAACGTCGTAATATAAAAAAAAATAATTACCTTGAAACGCGGCTTCAAATTTGACCGGTTCCTGCGTGGGCGGGTGTGAGGTGGCGGCAGCGAGCAGCGCGGCGAGCAGCGCGGCGAGCGGCGCGACTCGCGGCGCACCCATCTCAACACTACGACATGCCATCTCCGGCCATACTCGAGGTGGCACACGCTGGTTCTGTCAAACAAAAAGAAACAATTAATACCACTGTATGTAGTGTATGTGGGAAAGAGATGGAAGTATTGTGTCGTCTCTAGCGCACACTGCTGGCGTCTTGCGGGCATTACGCTGTGAACGGTGAATGAGAACAAGGTGTCTGAGAACCTATAATTAGGCAGACAAACAATACACCTACAACATTTTTATTTCAATACTATTTATTTAATAGCAGCGCCTTATTATCTTTGATCAACGCGATGGTTGACTGATGGAGAATGCCATAAGGCATTAAATCCGCCATGTATGCAATTAATAAATATATCGAAAAATAAATATTTAGTGTTTGTTTGTAATTTCATATTGACAGCTTTTCACTAAATGCATATGAACATTACATTAAACGTTTCATTAAAAATAAATTTGTCTGTCTGTTTGTACCTGCTAATCTCTGGAATGCTAAACCGATTTTGACTAGATTTTCACATTCAAACAGCTAATATTATAAGATGTAACTTAGGCTACTTTTTTTTATAGAAATTCTATTTATTTTTATTTCCGATATTGAGAGCCCCAGAGAGCAAAAGTTGTTCACTATTCCATTGTCATCCATTAAAAAAATTGCTTAGCAGTTATCACAGTTGAGATAGAGATACCCACATAAATGACTTTGTGCTAAGTGTGCCTCGATAAAACTATATAGGTACTAAGTATACAATTAAAATCCTTAAGAGTCGGATAAATGTTTTACTATTTCCATTTACTGAGTGCTTCTGTGATATTTACCATAAAATGTTTACCTTTTATGTAGGTTCTATTGGAATGAGTATAGTTGTATTTTTTATGTCTAAAGTAAGTTATAAAATAGTATTAAGTAGCTTTACCTTTGTCTATTCTTCATCTTATTTTTCTTATATGATACGAATTTTAATGAGGATTTTATTATTTACCATTTAGAATTTTTTTTTCAAAGAGGACGAAATTTGTCTCACGTTTTAAAAGTTGACAACGTTGCATTTATCGGTATACATTCATAAGAAACAAACATTCATTAATTGTTAATTAAAAGACGTCTTCCAGAGACTACCTTGCCTACCTCGCTATTAAAACGAGTATTTGTATAAAGTTTTTAGAAAGCCTATGCTATAAATACATTACAAGTGAGGCTATTTCATGTCACCCTACATTTTTATGTCTTCAACCTTTTCAGTTGAATCTCTAACAAAAATGTAGCCATGGAAGCTATAACACGCAGGGCTCCTCTGACCCTTTACTTAAATCGTCTGGATCGGGTAGGTACAGTTACTTTTTATTTCGCTCACCGATTGCCCGTCCCTACGTGACGTCTTGCGTTTGATGTGACATTGCTTCCTAAATGATTTTTACACGAGGATTTTATTTGGAAAATTCAGAAAAATATTCGGAGATATTGCAATATCTTGATCGATAGATGTTTTTGATTTATATGATACTATTCGATTATCCCTACATGATGTTCAATTAATTTTATGATTACATAGTGATCTATTTAGAACAATATAATTATTAATTGGTTGATTATAAATTAATAATGATTTATTTTATAAAAACGGATCTCATTAAGACACAGACTTTAATGGAGAACTATTTTTAGAAATTAGTAAGTTAATAGTAAGTATTGGAAATTGATATGGCTGCGTGGGTATGATATCGTTGCTGTAATATAAAAAAGAAAAGTTATTTGTCGTGTTTTTGTAAATGTCAATGTCAAAAAAGACAATATCAAATTTGTAAATATTGTGTTTCATATTTAATTAAAGGAGAAATATTTAATTAAAATTACACTGCATTATAGATTTGAATTACATGTACCGTATTAAATATTATTATGTTCGTGATTTGTTGTTAAAACTTTAATGGAGTTTCATTGTGAACATGTTCGGGTTACGTGTCCGTTTCATAGCGTTGTTTTTCCCATTTTTCCCCGAGTATGTGCGGTTACTAGACAATGGTTTAGCTCGAACACCTCCCATGGGGTGGATGTCGTGGGGTTACTACATGTGCGGCGATAAATGTGACGACAATCCGGAGAAATGTCTGGAGTATGTTTATAACCTCACATATTTTTGTTTACAAACATAACATTTATGTTGTAGTTACTTGATGTACCTGGTGGGTGATGTAATTATTTTTTTTGCCATGATAAATACACTCATAATCATACTGAAATAAATGTTATTCATTTCAAAATCAATAAAATAATTTTTATTTAATCATAAAATCAATTAAAATTGAACTATTACAATAATATTTTGTCTAGCGAATCAGAAGCTTAAGCGATAAGACCGCCTTTTGTACCTGCATACTATGTATATTCTACTTTATTTTGTATTTTTTTAAGGTGCAATAAAGAGTAATAAATAAAAGAAAATTAAAAATCTATTAAATCATCTATTAAATAATGTTTTTTTATATTTGCAATAAGCAAAAGCATCAACTAATACTAAAAAAGTATTTATAAACAATAGACAATTCTATAATGATATGTTGTTTATTGCATAAAACAAAAACTTAGTTGATGGATTCAAATGATTAATTAATACACAGCTATAACAAGTCCTAGGTTGCCTAATACAATGCTGTTTTCTAATATTCACTTGGGAAGCACCATGGCATATGCCACATACTTAATATTATAAATATAATAGTAAATAATTTTTTTAAGCTTTTACACCTTCATGGCATAATGAACATTATGCAATTTTCGTCTTATAAATATATATAAGGACCACATCACTAGTACTAGGAGGTCTAAAAATGTTATATATGAACATATGATTTTTAAAATATTAAAGTCTGTCATTGTTAAAAAAAAGTTAATTTTTTTACAATGATAGACTTTATACATAATTATTGGAATGGGTTTTTTTGATTAAACAATATGTTTGTGTAAAAAAGTTTCTGGAAAAACAATAACATATTAAGTGGGGACTGATTCATCCAGATAATCAGGATCATAATATATTTTCTGTTAGGCAGTCCAATGGTGAAATGCAGCTAGTATTAATCCGAACAATTCCTCAGAACACTTGCCATAATACATGTTGTACAAAATGTACAGAGATGCAATGAACAAATTATATGAGAAATTAAGATAAAAATGTAATTGTATTTCTAGTGAGCAGCTTATAATGTCGGTGGCTGACACATTTTATGAGGAAGGATATCAAGAAGCAGGGTTTGAATACATCATCATTGATGATTGCTGGTCAGAAAAGAAACGTGACGAGTACGGAAGACTGTTTCCAGACACGAAGAGATTTCCAAGGGGCATGAAATACTTAGCAGATTATGTTAGTTCTTTTTTATATTTTTATTTATTTGTTAAAAAAACAACAGCTTACAATCCAATACATTAATCAACAGTACATTTCTAGAGAAAATTAATTGTGGTTTTCTCAATTTCTTCCTCTATCATGTTGTTTCAATATTAATTATTTAATTCTATATTCTTTACATAGTGTGGACATAACAATAAACTACACTGAAACAACACTACAAATATTACAAATTATGGGAAAGAAACCATAAGGTTTTAACTTTAATTTTTACATTAGCAATCCTTTGATAGAGCATCTGTTTGTTGTGACAATATTTATTAATACAGTTTAGTCAGTATTAGTCATCTGTCTACATTAGACAATATTAATTCTTTAGTATTTTATTTATATTTTTTCCATTTCTATGTTGTAGATTATTGTCATCAAAATTAGTTTCACCTGCTTATAGTTAAGGATGACAGATGAGGATATCAATTTTATACCATTCATTAATTTTATTTTGTAAATGTGACAGAGGTACTCACATAGTCTACTTTGTACAAATTTTACCTTGAATAATATAAGGACTATTTTTTTTATGAATGGAATGGTGCACCTGTCCACCATTATAGATTTACGAGGGCGGGGCACCAGTAAGGGATGATAAGATAAGCCTGAGGCCAGGTTAGTTAGCCCATCGTGGTAAATTCATTAGGAATTTATCACAACGATTTCTAGCGGGATCCATGTGGAGCTCAAACTGATACCTTACTAGTAATGGTTGTTTTAGTCCAGATTTTTTTTATTATGGATGATAATGGAATGATGCACCCACCAGAGCTAACGGTTTACGCTAGCGGGACATCAGTGGAGGATGATAGAATGACCATGTAGTTAGGTCAGTTAGCAAATGGCAATTTTGTACAATGATTTACAGGAGGAAGCGCCTGATGGTCGACCTGACATGGTACATTACTAGCAATGGGGTCCAAGTCCCCATTACTAACAATCCCCTTACCCCAATGACTATTATTGTTCATACAGATCAATGCACGAGGTTTAAAGTTTGGTATGTACACCAATATAGCTACCACTACCTGTATGAGGTACCCAGGCTCGAGGGGCCACTTCAGCACTGATGCCAAGACATTTGCGGAGTGGGGCGTCGACTATATTAAAGTTGATGGATGTTTTGTTGAAGAGGCCTATCTTAATACAGGTAAGACAGACACTGTTATAGCTCTTTTTAAATCTAAGGACAATTGATATAGCGCCGTCTAAAGCTAAGCAGATCTCGTATATTGGGTAATAGACAACTGATATAAATACATAGATTTTTTTGTAAATACATAATATAAAGAAAATATCCAGACCGATCCAAACAATCATACTTATACAAATGTTTAAATCGTGCGAGGAATCGCACCCGCGACCATCGGAATTAAAGCGGTGTGCTAAACCGCTAGACCACGGAGGTCGTCTATGTTACAGCCCATTTTCCTGTAACTTCTCTAGTGTTAATTTATGATGATAAGTATGTCATTTATTTGCATTACAGACAGATATATACACAGACTTTAAAGCCACAGTGATATTTGCAGGCAGCACTGTATTTTATTATTAAACGCCCATATGTATATCATTCTAGAGGACTAAAGTGTCATGCCTACCCTATAATTTGACCCTTTATCCGATATATATCTTAGAAAACAGGCTCTTTCTTTTTAAATAGATCAGGCAGAAATGCTCTTTCAGGCAACTTCGTACACAGTCTAATTCTGTAAATGTATAATTAAAAAGAAAAGACCGCGTAAAACTAAAAACAATTAAACATAAAACAAATTTCAAAAATGCATATAAAACTTATAAACGGCTAAAGTGAAGATGGACAGGTCACATGATAAGTGAAAAGGAAGAGGAATGGACAAGAATAATAACAGAATGGTATCCACGAGACGGTAAAAGAAATGCAGAAAGAAGAAAATAAGAAAGAAGAATTGGAAGATGACAGGACAGAATGGAAATCTTTAGAGGAGGCCTATGTCGGAAGACAAGCTGTACCATTTATCGATAATAATATTAACCATATGTAAAAATATAAGTATAGCCATAAAGGCTTTTTACTTTATTTTTTTATTTTTATTTCTAATTACAGCATACATAAAATTGGGTCATTATTTGAACGAAACTGGAAGACCGATGGTGTATTCCTGCAGTTGGCCGTACTACATAGAGTACATACATAAACAGAAGGTAATATAATATTTTTAATGGATACAATTTTTATAAAGAAATATGCTTTATTTTTTGAGACTTTCCGGACAGCTTATGATTTACTATGACTTAGACTGAAAGCTCGTTGTTTTATCTAGATCAAATAAAATTTGTTAGTTGAGTGATTGTAAAATATAATTATAATGTCTCATAATGTTTTGCCTCATTAAGTATGCAAATTAAAATTATTTAAAGCTTAATTCAGTGTCAAAAACCTTTTTCGTCTATTCTATTATGAATCGATATGGCAAACAAGCTTAAGCCTCATCTGATGATAAATGGTAGCTATCGCCTATAGTCCTGACTATCACTAGATCATCACGTTATCATATGACGATTGTAATTTAAAATGTAGTTGACAAAAAATGTGATGGAAACACCGTTAGCAAATGAATGCGATAAACGTTGGTAGGCTCATCTCGGTCACGTTGTTTTTAAATGATTTCCTCTGACTACTTGTATCTAGGATCTAGGCTACAATCTAGTAGTGAAGGAAGCTAAGATTGTTAATAATTCTCAGGTCAACCTCACGAGATCCTGGAAACAATTGCTGTTTTAATTATGTTTTTTTATTGGTGGTAATGAAATGATACACTCCCATGCGCTAACGGCTTACGCTGGTGGCGTACCAGTGGTGGATGATAAAATGAGCATAAAGTCAGGTCAGTAAGTAGATCTTGGCAAATGGCAATTTACCACGATGCTTTCCAAGGGGAAGATAAACCTGACATGATTCATTGCTAGAAATGGGGCTATTAGTCCATATCACTTACTACTCCTAATCTCCTTTCTACCAACGATTATGGTTAATTCCTCGTAAAGTTGCCGAGATGGCCTAACTGACGTGGCTTCATCTTCATCTTATTCTCCACTGGTGCCCCGCCAGCGTAAACTGTTAGCACAGGTGCAATGTACAGTCATCAAAACAAGTCTTGAAAATATTTTATTATTATTATCAGGTACAAATTTTTATAGAGAGGTATTGGTAGGATCATAAAATTATTCTCGTCATATAAAATATATCGATGTAACTGTATTTGAACGTTGAATATACCTTTCTAAATACCTATTACACTATGTTGAATGTCTATACGAAATGAATCGTAATATTGTACGCATAAAGTGGTTTTTACAACCATTCATAAAATATACTGTGTGTAATTCATTTTTCATGAAGCCTACGCATGAAACTGTTACTCCAAACTCAATAAAAACCACACATAATAAAATCATAAATGAATTCTGTTTGTACATTAATTATTTCATTAAAACAAACGTTTTTATAATTTATTCATGTTGTACTTATGTTATATCTATCGCCTTGCTTTTATCTTTGCTCTTCTTCCACGGATCCCTATCAGCCGTCATATCTGAGCTTACTCTTCGCGGGTGCAGCTAGTAAATAATATATATATATTTTGCAGGCAGACTATTCATCGATTGCAACATATTGCAATTTGTGGCGGAACTATCACGACGTGGTACTATCATGGTCCGCCATCAAAGCCATAATGGATCATTATGAAAGAGAATATTATATATTGGAGCGGTATCACGGACCTGGACATTGGAATGATCCTGATATGGTATGTATCACTATAACTCCGGTGGTCTAGCGGTTAAGCATATTGTCTTACTTTCCGAGTCGCAAGTTCGATTCCTTGCATGGTACAAAGATTTTATCAGTATGATTTTTATTGATCTGTTTTTTACGTGTATTATGAAAGGCAGTATAATATATGTGGACTGATATCACGGACATATATACTGGAATGACCTTGATATGGTATGGATAACTATTAACGGCCTCGCGGTGGTCATGCGGTTTAGTACACCGTCTTTCAGATGGTCGCAATTTCGATTCCTCGCACGGTGCAAACATTTGTGTCATGAATATGATTGTTTGTATCGGTCTGGGTGTAATCTATGTATATTACGTGTGTACGTGTATTTACAAAAAAATCTAAGAATTTATATGAGTTGTCTAGTACCCATAACATAAGCGCTGCTTACCGTGGGACTAGATGGAGCTGTGTTAATTGTCCAGGGTTAAAAAAATCGTTCCTAACAGTGAAAATTTAAAAACGGATCACCAGATCCGGATGTTACCCCGAAAAACAGACATACAAACTTTACCTCTTTATAGTATTAGTATATAAATAACCGAATTGAAAGCCTCTTTTTATAGTAGGTTGAAAAGGTAACACGTGTTTCAGCTTACACGTTCCCTTAGGACAAAAAGTGGCCTAAACAAGTTTGCTGCCAAGGAAATTAATATTATTACAAACACGAAAATGAAAGTAATGCCAGGGGATACAAAATCACAGACAAACCGAAATTTAGCGGTTAGGGGTTAACTGACAGAAAAGTAATTTAACTTACTTGATTAATAAAACAAACAAATATTTCTAAATGTATTTTAATGTTAAAATAGAGACCGATCTTATAATATTGAACGAAAAGACTATATAAGTCGTCTGCTTGGATGTTTTATATTTGTCTAGGATGACATCTGGAGCTTCTCATGGTTATATAGAGAATCTCTTTTTTTTTTGTTGAATACAAGATTTATAGATTTATGTACAATTTAGTTAACTTAAAGAATGTAATATAAAAATTCGCATAACTGTATGGATGGATGTGAATGTAATGGCTGTCTAGTAGAAAGTGTTTGAGTGACATTGCTCTTCAATTTCAAAGTAATAATTTGTCTACCCTTTATTTATAAGCGCCTTTATGAATAATTAAACAATAACTAAATAAATATAAAATTGCTGAATGGAACTTTGCCTACAAGTCCATTCAGCAATTTTATATTTACAATATTAATTAACAAATATTTATAAATATAGTTTAACGTTAAAATAGAGAATAATCTCAAAATATTGTCTGTCATATATAACATCACGCTACGACCAAGGAGCGGAGCAGCAATGAAAAATGTACATGAAATTTCATTTTCACGGAATTGTTATGCTTTAAAAGTTCTAAAAAAAACCCAGCGACAACATATGTCTATTGTAATATACTGGCCACTAGTCGCTAGTTCGTTCGTAGTAATTTTTATATATGTGAAATATCTATTGACATGTGTCACAAATTTTCTATTCTAATAAAATAACTTATGTAGATACGTTATTTACATCTATCTTTTAAGGTTAACTCACTAGAACCTTTTAATGATAATCAAATTTCATCTAAAAAATGTATTATTTACAAAAGTGTTTTTATTAATTCAATATTAATCCTTATCCAAAAAAATATTTTATTTTATTTATTATAAGTATTTCATTTTGAGCAAAATTGTCTTTTACAACATTTGAGTTCAGCGAACACTTTTGGAGATATCTTAGTTTTAATAAGAGCCTCAAATATTGGGCTTGTTGCTAGATAATAAATAAATTTATAAAAAAAACATAGATAAAAAATAAACAACGATGTCTACGACGCCATGCTTATAAAAAAATAAGGCGTTAAAAAGTTACAGGCGTTCAAATTTCGTTACAATTCGGATTAGAAATAATGAGGAAACCGGGGCGAGCTGCTAGTATCCGATTTTTTTTTATTTCAATGGAGTTCAGTATTTTTTTTTATTTGCAGTTGATATTCGGCACTGGTACACTGTCAGATAGCCAAAGCAGAGTGCACTTAGCTGTGTACGCGATGTGGTCTGTACCTCTATTACTGAGCTGCAATATGGCTAGAATTAGACCGTACGAAAGGCAATTACTGCAGAATTTGGAGTTAATGGCAATTGCTAAAGACCCTTTAGGGGCGATGGCCAAGCCATATAAGGTAATTTGACACTTCCATTTAACAGAATTAGCTTAGAGAATAGAGTTAGAAAGTTTAGTTTTAGAGAGCATCATGACCTATTACTTACCCCGCCTTAGAATAAAAGGTCGTGAGTTCAAATTTAACTGATATAAAAAAATGTGTTAATTTATATCTCTGACTATCTCTCCGCTGATATAAACACCGATAACATAAAATTTATCCTAGCGTCACTAGGATACATTTTGAAAGTCACTAGGATAAATTTTGAAAGTGATGTAAACACCCATAACAAAATTTATCGAGTGATAGTGGAAGACTTGCCCAATGCATTACGTTGGATTCTAATATACCTAGCATTGCATTGACAATTACACCACTTGATAATTATTCTGTCTACCTTTTCAGGGAGAATTGTCGTGATATAAATTTATAGTATCCATCCTTGTAAAAACAGTTGTAAAAAACACCGCAAATTTATTTCACAGTTGGCGGACTCCGTAACTTTATGGGTGAAGCACCATCTGCCGATGAAGGGTGACGCGTATCATACCTTCTCTTTCGCTCTCGTCAACGTTCACAATCAGGCTCGCGCCGTCTCTTTCGCGCCGAGATTGTATGGACTCAACTCGACAGACGGTTACACGATTATGGTGAGTTCCGTTCAAATTAAGAATGCTCATGACTAGAGCGGCAACGTTGCGTCTCGAGGTCTCGCAACGTCTGTAATTTCTGTCAATACAATATTAACACGTTAAAGACGGCATGTCCACCGGTGGGTCACTCCGCAACGAAAGTAAAACGCTTTGGGACCGAGTGATCACCTGTGGGCACTTTAATTGAAATAAATCTAGGGGTTAAATAATGTCTACCTCAAATTATTGTACACTAAAAACATATTTAAAAAATAATATACGTAATTAACAATAAAAAATGCCGGTCCCTATGTGAGAAAAAAGATTTTTCAATGCGACCTACGTGTTACAGAAGAAAAATGGCTGTATGGGCGGAGTTTCCTTTGCCTTTTCGTTAAAGAATAAATAGAAAGAAAAAAAAAGAAGAAAAAGAGTGATATTTACCGGGCACAGCGCGGTTCTTCGCTATGGTGGATTTCAAGGGGGTTTTCGAGTTGGGGGGCTCGTTATGGGAAGTTTTGACGTTTGGGGTGTGTTCCGATGTGACGGGGATCTATACGGCAAGGTCTTCTGTCCGAGAGAATCTTTGGGTCTGCCATGGTGGGGGGCAAGTCACGCGCTCTCTTCAAGAACTATTAAGAGACTCAAGAACAATTTTTGCACTGTACGACTATTGTGTTGGTGCTGCTGCTCAAGTATATAGGCGACGTTGATCATTTACCATCAGGACCGTCAGCTTGCCATTCCAATAACGTAAAAAAATACTTAAGATTTTATGCGTCATATAATTTTTTTATGTCGTTTTTTATAGTATAATATTAATTTAAGTACAAGTATAATTTTAATTTTAATCTGTTATTTTTTAGGACGTGTTCACGGAAGATTACTTAAGGAATATCACTTTGAATGATACCATAGATGTCGATGTACCACCTGAAGGTAAATATAGACAGACCAACAAAATTATACTAAAATAGGAGCACTATATATGATTTTTTATCTATTTATATAAACTAGTGATTGCCTACTGGTCGAAATTCGACCATTTTTTTATACCACGTAGGTGGCAAACAAGCGTATGACTCATCTTAGATAAAAGTTTACCATAGCGTCAAACACTAGAGATGTCACGTGCGCGTTGGCGACCCTAATACCAGAATTACCATAATATTACGACCATAATCAATTTAAATAAATTAAGTTCAAATTAATAAAGTTTGAACATTATTGAAGTTATTATATTATAACCTTAGTATATATTGCTCTGTACAATAAATAATATAATAATAGCTCAGGACAATTCACTCAGCGCCATCTAGTCCCAAGCTGAGCAGATTTTATGCTATGGGTACTAGTCAACTAATAGAAATACATAGATTTTTTTTTGTAAATAAAAAAAAAAAAAAAACACCCAGACCAATACATACAGTCTTACTTATGAGTACAAATGTTTATACTGTGCGAGGAATCAAACCCGCGACCATCGGAAATAAAGCTGTGTGCTGCTAAACAACCGAGACTGTCTGTGAAAGGATTACAGGACGCGCTATTGAACTATGAAAGTCAAATAAATCAATAACTCTCTCATTTAAATGGTATAATATTAATATGGTAATAGTCTATTGTAATGAAACAGTGGGTATTTGTACTCGACTTTATTATATTTCAAAGGCATAACTTGCTAGCACTCAGGGTTGCCATATTCTACCAAGTTAGACTTTGTATAGTCTGTGTGGATTCACATCTGTCACGGATTTCAGCCGTCAAGCAGCTGGCCTTGTAGTGTGACATATGAAGTAAAATTACAAGGTTTAGAAGCATATGTAGATCTAGGTTTATTATCGGTGTGGCGTTTACACACCAGGTCTCATGTTGAGCGTAGCGTGTTTATTGAATTTTTTTGGAGTGGTAAACGGTGAAGGCCCAAAGTCACCTTCGATGAAATAATGGTCTCGATCGGTCAAGCTGTTTCGGAGAAGTATCGTTACAAATGATAATGTAATGGTGCACCCGCCTGCGCTAACGGTGTATGCTGGCGGGGAACCAGTGGGGGGTATGAACTTGATGAGATAATGAGGTCAGGTCAGTTAGTTTAAATTCACAATGAATTTATTACAATAGTTTCCAAAAATAATATAATTGTACGTTAAGTACATCAATCAGAGCTTATATTATGTGCATAATACAAGCTTACAAGCTTTACTTATCGTGGGACTAGATGGCACTGTGCGTATTGTCCTAGATTATTATATTATGATTATAACCCAATTACATTAAAATAAATAGAAATCCAAATTAGATAACATTAAAATATATATTAATAAGTTTTTTTAGACCCAACTTTATTTTGGGAAAATTTATACCAACGTAGTGGCAACCCTACAAGAAACAGCTGTATTTATATTAGCTTTATATTCGCATGTATCTTCTTTACAAGTCTAGAGTACACAGTACCGCGGCACACGCGATTTTCAAAGGTTATTGACATCAATGAAGTTTTTATTTTCTTGTAAATACAGTATATTTTACTACCGACCCGACCAGACTTTACGGTATGTCAATAAAATAATTATTAATAAAACCTTTAACGAATTAAAATAACTTAAGACATACTCTTTTCATGCCGTAATTTTTAGACCACCGAGCAGTGTTGCCAATTTGGCATAATTTAAATTATAATGCATAAATTAGATGCTAGATTTGGCAGATTTTTGCGTATTTATTTGTTGTTTAGAATATAGCATATTTTATTTTATAAAAATTTAAGCATGACATAATTCCACTAAAAAAAGTTTGTCTTTATCACACTTGCAAGCTGGTATGAAAGGAACAGACTCTTGTCAGAGTAATTTTTACCCTATTTCCGAACACTTATAGATTACTTGTCATGTTGGCAATTTGTCGATCAGCATCAATTGTGGATGAAGACCAAGATTTTGTTTTAATTGAGAGACTTTTGTACAATCTAAAAGTACATGCTTGTCCCATTATACCCTAAAATTCATTATTTCATTACCTCACCAACTCGAATTGCCTTAGCCACACTATATGAATGATCGGCTAAGGACGAAGATATTATTTTTTTTCGGTAACATAATTGATTATAACAGAAAATAAATTTATTTTTGTTTATTTTTAAAGATTTAAAATTAAACAACGTTTTATTTGACATTGAAAAATGTTAGCTTATTTTTTATAACATTTAGCATAATTTTAACAGAAGTTTAGCATATTTTATATTAGTCGAGTTAGCAACACTACCACCGAGACCACTATTTTTCTTATCGTCTCTACTTATCAATACGTTTTGTTTGTTTCAGATGTGATTTTATATACACTGTTCCCGTTATAGTTTTAGATATATCTATATCTAAGCATGTTTTACGCATGGCAATGGTTTGACGGGACACCAGTGGAGGATGATGGGATGACCATGAAGTCAGGTCAGTAGTAGTAGGTAGCCCATCATGGCAAATTCACTAGAAATTTATCCCTATGGTCCCCAACCAACCTAACACGGTACATTGCTTGCAATGGGGTTGTTAGACCACATTATTAACAATCCCCTATCCCCCTAGTGGATAATATTGGTATAGTGCACACTAACGGTTTACGCTGGCGGGACACCAGTGGAAGAAAACAGGATGAACATGTGGTCAGATCAGTTAGCACATCATGGCAGATTCACTAGGTTTCCAAGGGGAACCGCATGGTCAACCTGACATGGTACATTGCTAGCAATCGTGTCATAAGTATTCCTGACCAAGAATCCCCTTCCCACAAAATAAAGTGATTTAACCACGACGGTTATTGTTTAACTGTTAGATATATAAATATTAATGAATTAATAATTGCTCCAGTCTGTATAATTGTGATATTAATTGATAATAAATGCATTTGTTAAATTAAATAAATAATTATGAATAAATTTTGTTATATGTTATTTCTGATGTTGATGAGTGGACGCGAGGTTTTTTTAAATCAAGATATACTCTATTTAGTCTAATTTGCAATACCTTATTTGCTTATCATATATAGCTTTTTTTTTATCTCGGATACGATCGATACTCCGTCATAAGAAAATAGCGGTGTAGCACACTGCTGTACTTGCGATGATCGCGGGTTCGATTCCTCGCATACCAAAAATATTTGTATTCATGAGTATGATTTTTGCATTTATATAGGTGTTTCCTATTTATGTTAGTTTGGAACTAGATGGTGTTATGTCAATTGTCTAGGGTTATTTTTATGTACATACATAGGCATTTACCGCTTGCCATAAGATAAACCTGGTGGATTAGTTTGCTATTCTAGTTAAATTAAATATCTATGTACCATTTTACCTGTCTACTAGCATAACTTTTGAAACGATTAAGTTAATTGCAATCCAAATTAATGTTCTACACATATCGCTTACCACAAACAAATGCGAGTATAAATAGCGCACACCTACGGTCATTATACTAATTGTAGTGTCCGTCAGGTACAATGAAAGTGTCAGTGCTTTGTTTAGTGGTTGCCACGACGCTGGTCAACGGGAGTGGACTCGGACTGTTGGGTAACTTAGCAAACCAATTAACAGGTACAGCTGTTGATTCAGCACAAAAAGTTCTCCTCGGAGATGCACCTGACCGTGTCTTAAATGCAGAGCCTTCGTTGCTGGCAACATATAAAGATAAATTAGGTAATGTTTGCAGCCAAGACGCTTACAAGGGCTTCCAAAAGTCGCTATACGAGTTCTATACGAAACTTAACTCTTTAATATCTGAAAATAGTAAAGGCCACTACGTATTTTCGCCGTTGTTTATCTGGTTATCGATCATGACAATCGCTGAAGGTTGTGAACCGATCTATCAAAAAGAACTCTTCTCTATTTTAAATCTACCTGAAGAAAAATGCCTACGCGAACAATATTATGCGATGAGTTTGAAGCATTTAACGGAGAGACAAAATGATGTTAGCATTGCAAGCAAGAATCTATTTGTGCTCGATGAATATACAAAAGTAGAGCCTAATTGGGCGAAATTTGCAAATGACGGGTTCCTTGAGCTGGCATTCGTTCCTATCAAGGATAATCCTAACTTCGCATCTGAGCAATTACGAAACCTTCTAAAATTCCGTTCCAGTCCAGCTTTGTATGGAAACTCCGGTCTGTTCAATTCTATTGACTTTCAATTCCTCTGGACGTATGCATTCGCGGATAGCAAGATTCAGAGGAACGCGCCGTTTTACAATGACGCAGGCAAAGAGATTGGCAGAGTGGATATGATGAAAATGAGGAGGCGTGTAAGATTGGCGAATATGCCGCTTTTGAACGCTAAAGTTGTAGAATTGCCAATCGGACACAACGGACGTTACAAAATGATAATTGTAATGAATAACAGCTTAGGTCTTCTTGGAACTTTGTTTGCCAATATTGGTAAATACCTGTCCGATATCTTGGGAGTTCTGACGGAAAGCGCAATTCCATTAGATGTTGCTATACCTCGTTTTGATCTAGAATACGAATACGATGCACGGCGTGTTCTCGAAGCTATGGGCATTAGGGAATTGTGGAATAATCCAGCTGTTACCAGGTAAGTTTATTATTGTGTCCTTCTTTAGTAGGTATCTATCGAAGTTTGTTTTATCTGTAGTTTTACGAAATGAAAAACCAATAATAATATTCCATACACGAAACATTATTTGTCATTTCAGATTTGTTTTATGGATAATTAATATCAATAGAGAATTTAATGGTGAAAAAAAATTTCAAAAAAATGTAACCTTAAAAAAATCCTTTATTTTATATGGGTTCTAAACTTAAAAGGACTGAAATCAACTTTAATACATTGAAATTTCTTGTATTTTTTTTGGACTGCCATTTATTCTTTATTATTAAAACAAAAACAATTCGCAGCTACATTTCAAGACCACCAGCGTTACCAGGCAGTTATTATCAACGCGTCTACCTGAAGGTCGGGAATGAAGGATTAGAGGCACCAATAGAACAAACCTCAAGATCACTCACTGGTGGATTATTTAATTTAGCTACTGATGTCGTCTCTGACGCGGTATCCGTGGTGGGGAGAGAATTCATTGCAAATAAACCATTCGCTTTTATGATATTGGAATCGGAAACCAATGGTTGTGTTTTGGCTGGTGCTTATTCTGGACCAACTATTGTGTAATAGTTAAATTAAATAAAATATTGTTAACAGTTTTGTCTTGATTTGATTGTTTAGACGGCCTAGATGGTTTATCAGGTTTTCATACCGTGTTTCTTCCGTTGGCCACAGGTTCGATTCTCCATCCATAAAAATCTTTGATTGTATTGGTCTGGGTGTTTTATATGTATAATATGTATGCACATTACAATGCTACCTCTCACACTTACTCTAGCACAGACTAATTAAGATCATAAATACAACAGTGGTCCTACAGAGTACACTACAACATTACATATTATCGTGCAGGCAGCCTGAGTGTAGGTGGGAATCGTGAGATCCCGAGGTTACCAGATGTTATACTTCATAAATTTTACAGCAAAATTTAATGACTTGTCACGTCGACTTGTTCTATTAAAACCAAGTTCTTTCATTAAATCTTAAATGGAGGACAACTTAAGGGTTTGTTTATAATTAAATAGAGGCGCACGGAACGCGCCTTGAATACTCCAATTTGCAAAAGCTAATTGACTCCCAGACTAGGTTTGAATCTGATATGCAGTTAAGAAGAGTTTGTAAAATCTTAATTATGTTTGCTTGATGAACTACCTCTAATAAATGATGTTAAAGTTATAAGAACAACACTAATCAATGTTACATTACTAATTTATACTGCACAGGGTAAAAGATAAAAGGCAGAAATTGAATACTATAGAAAATAGACGAGGAAAATGTTAAAACACTTGATTGGGCACGATGAATTTGTGATAGTAATTATGTATGTCTTATTCTATTGAGGGTAAAATAGAAGGAAAGAGGAAGAGAGGAATACCACGGTACAGCTACATCAAGCAAATTAAAGACAAATTTGGAGCAATGTCGTGTCAAGATTTAAAGAGCATGATGGAAGATCGTGGAAAGTAGCAAGAGCTCCACCAACAAGAGCGTGGCTCTTAAATTATAAATACCTACAAATTTATACAATAAACACTACTTTATTAATTAATATTACTTTTCGTTTGAGCTGTAGTCGGTATTAAGCAATATAGATTACAGGGGAGATCGAGGAGAGTTGCAACAATTTGCACTTAAATGCACATATCTTAATTCAGATACTCAAATCAATTTAAATTAAAACACAACATAAACTAGTCCCTCTCACAAATTACATATCAAAATTTCATTGTTATTTTAAATTTTTTAGTCAATTTTAAAAAGTTACTATATATAAACTATGTTGTATAGATATAGTAATATATAATATAGATACAGTAGTATATACATAGTATACATAAGTTAGAATAGTTATGAATTCGAGCCATGCATGCAAGCGAGCAGCATGGCGGCAGATGCAAACAATTTTGTATAAAACTCGTCTATAGTATATGGTAGATTATCTAGTCCTGTCAAAGAACAAAAGTTCAGAAGTCTGTACATTCAAATATCGGATTGAAGCAGACACAAACGCTACTAACGAGACGTGAGCGTAGGGTTGTCACAGCCGTAAAATAAACCACCAAAATAAGGTAATTTTTCACCATGTTAAAGTCGGGAACTGATTTTTATTACTTTAAAAACAATTACAGGTTTTATCTTATTATTAGTATTATGGAATACACCTAACATAGAAGACAGCGATAGATATTTTTTTTTTATTTGTATCTTAGCACACATATACCTACATTCAAGCTGTACGAGCTAACCCCGTAGACGTTGGTTTATATATTAGAATCGCTATTAAAAAATAGAAGTTGATGGTAAGGTGAAAAATTTGGGGTTGTATGTATTTTTAATGCCACAATATAAAAAAGTTGTCCAAAAAAATTAAAATAAAATGTTAGGGGTGGACATCCCTTATCACTTAAGGGTTTGAAAAATATATAGTAGCGGATTCTTAGACCTACTAAATATGCATATAAAATTGCATAAAAATCGGTCAAGCCGTTTCGGAGGAGTATGATAACTAACATTGTGACACGAGAATTTTATATATAAGATACATCACCGAATATTTATTACAATATAATTTAGTATGGGTAAACCTGCATGTGTGCCACAGCAATACAAAATGGCCCATAGCTCAGTGTGCAGAATCAATCAAGGAGCAAAACATAGATTTCAAGTTATGACTGCAAAATGGAATATACTATTTAAAATGTACGGGCACCATTTCTAAAAAACTATTTCTCGGTGATATTAGAGGGCTCATTTAAGACTTCCAGAATGAGAACAAATGACGGTTACCAAAGGCGTTATGAAGTGATATTCGTGTAGTTGTTGTTTTGTTATATTAAGTTTGTTTAATTATTTTATTTCGGGATTTTATTAATAATGTATATAACTATAATATGTATTATTTTTACCTAACTTGGAACGTCAAGAACAGTGGATACCTTTCTTATTATTATTCAATTCGCTCTTGATAGAACGGTCATGGTTAATGACCATAACCTCAAAAAAAATCAAGAGCGAATGTAGAGTCTATGTAGTGAAATGAGAGCATATCATCCGCTTTAAAACAGCTCGCTATTTGTCTTACTATTATAAACACGAAAGTTTGTAAATATGGATGGATGTTTGTTACTATTTCACGCAAAAACTACTAAACGGAAAATAATAAATAATAAAACTTTACAGTAATATTGTTTATACATCAGAATAACACATAGGCTATAAATATCACGTGGGTGACATCGAGGGCACAGCTAGTGTATTATAATATTATTCACGTTACAACCCGTTTAACTAGGTATATTAATAATATAACATGTATGGCCAGATTCTAATAAAAACTACCGCTGTATTAAATCACTGTAGTAGTTTAAGAATCTATAAATCCAAACACACGCATTAATAAATACAAAAAAGTACGAAACAAATAGAACATAAAGAATACATACCATATATCCTATAGCACCACTATACTTCATGAAAATTGGTGGAAAGGTCGATCGGATCGAAAGGATGGATAGTATAGGGTAGGTCGGTAACGACATCATAAATCTTCAATCCACAATAACCTTACGCCTTATATTGAAGCTTCACAGGCTTTAAAGCTTTCAACGCAAAGCTAAATTTAAATAATACACAATAAATATATAGGAAATCACAAACCAAAGAATTTTGCGCATTAATAGGTAATGTCAAGAAATTAAATTATGTACGTAATTATTAGTTTTCTAAAAATGATGAATATGATATTCAACTAAAAGGAAACAGTGTATATAACGGGTTCGGTCTAGTGGTTTACAACATCGCCTTATTTCTGAAGGTCACGGGTTTGATTAGGCGACGATAAGAATGGTATAAACATAACAATTTATAGGTAAATATTTTTTAAGCAGCCATATATGAAATGTTAGATTAATGATACATTATTTGCTATTTTAGAACTATATTTCGTTAAAACTAAACCAGCTTAGAGTATATCTGCAATCCCTTTCTTTTACGTGGGGAAAATTCCTCATGGAGACCCTCTGGTCTCAGGAGTTGGTACTGTGAGACTCCTACTGACCAAAAACCCCACGATATTCCTCCTCGCTGCCATAGTGCCGGGGTCTCGAAATCGAGTTCGCAATCAACTGTGACCCCAGCGACGTTTGCCTGCCTTGTATGCCTGAACAGGCATATCTGTAATCCCTAAGATAGTCAATCTTTAGGCAGAGAATGCTAATAGCATCAAGCCCGCCTATTGTACAATTCAATAACGTTTAAATAAATAGTTCTGTTAAAAAAATATTAAATTCAATTCACAAAAACTTTCTTGTATTTATACACATATTTTTAGTTTACTACTTATCTGTATCTTTTATCATTCTATAATGATGTGCCTACACTTGTAATATTTCTGTCAACACTCAACACCCTTCCATTAGTTTACGTCCCCACTCACATTTTAAGTTCAGCGTAAAGTCAGTCAGCGTTACAAATACGCGTTCCTAATAAGTCATGTAGCACACTATCAAAGAAACTTACTGATGTAGTTAAATTATTACACCTGTATACTCACTACCTACATACTACAACTACCTGTGCCCACAACTTTTTCTGCGTGTTATAGTGACCTCGACCAAATAAAGAAATAATTATCAATAATCTAAGCTAAAAAAGTCAATGAAAAAAGTTTCATTGTTCTAGCATCAAACATGACGAATTTCCATAAAAACTTTCATCCCCTATTTTTTTACTGCTTAAGGATAACATTTTCACAAACTTTGAATGACATATTTATTTATATTTAATCAACAACCTGAAAAAAAAGTTTAAAATGTCGGTATTTCCATACGACCCTTTATCTCCCCTTACATCCCTTTTTCTTTATTTATATTCCATTAATAGCATAAAAAATAAGTATCAAGTTTCTAGTTTTAAAAATTACAATACTTCCTTACAAACTTTCATTTCCCCTTTCAATCTCTTACAATCCTTTTTTCGCGTTAAAAAGTAGCCTGTCATTTCTCAGGGTTTTGAGTATATGTGTACCAAATTTCATTTAAATCGGTTCAGTAATTTTGGCGTGAAAGCGAGACAGACATACCGACCGAGTTACTTTCGCATTTATAATATTAATAAGAACTAGTAAGGATTAGTCCTTATCAACTTTGTTAATCTTATAAACAAATATATTAAGTAGCAACATGTCGTTACATCATACACAACAGTACAGTGGTGAGGTGATAACCATCGCGCTACAATGCAAATAAAGCCTATTCTATGTATCTAGAAACAACGCAATAGGAAACATCAATTTCAAAATCGATCAAAAACTCCGCACGCCACATACGACTATATCCACCTCTATTGTTTGCAAAATTAAAAAATATCGACAACCCTACGCACGAACATGTGAAGTGGCATCTAACGCAAAGACCGACGTTGGAGGGCCCTCACCAGTCAAATGCAGGCGGAAACTTGAATATTAACAAGTACTACGATGTACTCGCATACCTGTTCTGATTAGGGTTTAATCATAGCAATATATGTAATACGAAACGAAATTCGGCCATAATTAATGTAACATTCAG